ACCCTACTCTACCAATTCTTGTTGATGCCACATTTTCCAGGACTTCATAAGACTCCACTAATACGAACAGTAATGAGGGATAAAGGCTGTTTTCTTGTTTTTGAAATCACTGACTAGGCAACACAGATATATCCTACAAAGAAGGGAAACATTTATACGTAGACAGTCTTCTGTTCTTTGTGATGCTGGAGCTGGAAGCAGATCCTCATCCACGCTAAACAAGTGCTCTCCTCCTGAGTCACACTGCAGACTTTTTAGAGATGAGGTCTCACTATGTTGCCCAGGCTGGTCTGGAAGTCCTCCAGCCCTGTGGCTATGTTGTTCCCAAGCACCTGGGCCTACAGGCAGGTGCCCTGGTGCATGACTTTAGACATCCCTGACCATACATTTAGGCACTATGTCCTACCCAGAGAACACATGTCTCTGATGACTGAATGATCCTCAAGCTCTGTTTATGTCATTCCCTCCTGAGTGAAGCAGCACACACAATGCTCATAGCACCGCCCTCCTTTGATCCATTGCCCTGCTAAACTCGGCATCTCCTGCTTCCTCCTCAAGACAGCAGTTCCCCAAAAACACTAGCAGAGGGGAGCTAAGCATCTCAGGAGAGTCACAAGCCAGAAGGAGCAAAGAGGGAAGTAAACAGATTTGAAAGCCTGCTGCCGCCAGGCTCTGTGCCAGGCAGCTCATCTATGTGACTTCAATCATCTGGGATAAGAACCTGAGTGGTCAGGATGTTCCATCCTGCAGGGGAAGAAACCTCGCCCAAGGGGGTTACATCACTTGTCACAAACAAGTATGAAATAAGGGTGGCCCCCTTGGGCAGTTGACAAAAACATAGGAAGTTTTCAACCTCATATTTTCTATTAGATTGGTACTTGGTATGTTTTGAGTATTATATAAATAAAAGAAGGTGTACTTTAATTAAAGTAATACTTGTGTTATTAACACTTAGAGGGGCACCTTCTTTAAAGATACGCTCATAGCTTCTACACATTTAGGGAGTAAGTGGCAACCTCAGAGGGAGCCCAAGTCCTCTCTGCAGCAAAGGCCCATAGAGATGTCATATGAAACAAATCAACGTCATGCTTTGACCACCAATTTTAGCTGGACTCTCTGTGTCTCAGGAAACCCACTGTTTCTCAAACCATAGTCCCATCTGGAATGGGAAGGTCAAATCCTCGTGCTCCTAAGCCTTTGAGTTCCTTGCACCTATCTCCCTCTGGGTGCCTTTGACCTCACAGATGCAGAACCTCATGTTCCTGTCCCAGAATGAAGAATCCCTGCTCTTCCCTCCTCTTCCCCACCTTCCTGCCCTCTGGCTACAGCTAAGAGTGCTCCCTCCCTCCATATCAGGCAAACCCCCACCTGTGCTAGGAGCCTTCCCCAACCACCTGAATACACCTTTGTATTCTCATTAAAACGGTCAGTCTCTCTCAAACTGGGTCCTCCCCTCCAACCTGCAAGTAAACAGATATGTCTTTCACGTAAAAAAAGAAAGACAGTCACATGCCGCATAACAATGTTTTGCTCAGTGTTGGGCCACTTACATAAGGGTGGTCCACCAGATTATGTTGCTTAGTGACAAGGGAGCATTTTAGTTTCTCTAAGTCCATCAGTGATGTTGGCACCTCAGTCACCTAATGACACATTTCTCAGAACAGCCTCCTGTTGTGAAGTGACATATGGCTATAAAACAAAGAAGTCTCTGTTGCACACACAGCTCCCTTCCTCCATCATCCTGGTGCTTTTTCACATGCAAACATCCGGAGTAACTTGTCTCTGGCTGCTGTCACTATTCTTCCCCTTACCATAGCTCCTCATTTTATCATGATCTGGCTTCCATTCCCACCAAAGTGTGGTGTTGCCACAGAGCTCCAGGATGCCAAAGTCAAAGGACATTTCCACTGTGGAACGATTTGGCCTGTGCACAGCATCCGGAGCTGCAGGACCTGCTTTGCTCCTCCTCCTGGCCCTGTTTACCCTTCTGCTCAGATGTACCCTCCTCCAGCTGACGCTGCAGGTCATAGCTCAGCAGCCACCATCCAGGATAGCCACCCCTTGCTCAGCATGTCACCACTTACTGCACATTCCTACAGCACTATGGGGACTGCCAGGCACAGATGTACTTTGCATCAGTATGTGCTGTTTAATTTGTATATGCTGTTTAATTCAGAATTGGTGGGTGACAACTCCCTCACTAGACTGTGAGCCCTAGAGGTCTCTGTACTCTCTGTATGCCCAGTACTTGGTGGGCATCCTGGAGCAGTCGCTGCACTGCTTAACATGGGAGACACATTCTGAGAAATGCATTGTTAAGTGACTTTGTCACTGTGGAGACACCATAGTATCCTCATGGCTAGGCCACCCAGCAGGGCCTCTTGCACCCAGACTACAAACGGTGCAGCATGAGATTGACCTGGATACTGTGGGCAGCTGTAATGCAATGGTAACTATCTGTGTGTCTAAATATTGAAAAGGTGCAGACAAAAATAACCAGGCCATAGGAATTTTTTAGATCCATTATAATCCTACGGAACCACTGCTATACATGGGCTCCGTCATTGACTGAAATATCCTTATGTAATATGACCATACTTTTCAGGAGGTCAGTTGAGAAAAGTCCTTCCTCAGAGGATGATGGTATCTAACTGGACTAGAGTACAGGTTTGCCCCTGAAGGAGGTGAACAGGCAAGCTTGGAATGGCAAGTCCTGTGGGGAGCATGAGGGGCAGATAAACCCTCATGCTGAGTGCCAAGCCCAGGTATGCAGGGCCCCTGCTTCAGAACTGCGCTGGCCCTCAGGAGGAACCCAGAAGCTGCATTCTGGGAAGTACTAGCCTCCCCCACGGCCATGAACATCCATCAAATGCATGCCATTATTTAAGAAAGCACAAGAGGCGCCTCTTTCTTATAGCCAAGATTCTCAGTGGTACAGGAACTCCTCAGGGGGAAATCATGAAGAAGCAGGTCTTTGTGGATGAATTGAAAAGCCCAAAGTAGAAGAAATGAAAATAGAAGGAGTATTGCATAATTTCCCCCAAAGACTTTAATAGGAGATTAGTTGTGATCTGGAATTTTTCCCAAGAATGGAGCCAAAGGCAGCAAACTTTCCTTAACAGAGATAAGGAACAACACTCACTTGAGACCACCAGACTTCTTGTTTTATAATTTTAAAGGCTATTATCTGTGCAGGCTGCGTTTTTTTTTCTTTTGCTTGACAATTCATTTTGCTTTGCTTCTTAAAAAGTTTCACACGTGGATGTGTGTGTGTGTGTGTGTGTGTGTGTGTGTGTGTCTGTGTGTATCTACATGTACATTAAATTAATTTTCTTTTCGTAATTTTAACTAAGGAGTTTCACAAAACATGGAAAGTTGCATGGGAGGCCTATATTCAAAGGCAAATTTGTGATGTCTAGGATTAGCCAGACCCTGAAGGTAAAACCTTCCAAAGACTCAGTCTTTTGACTAGAGTATATTAAATTGAAACCCAATAAATTAAAGGGGGGGATACCCCTTTATACTTTACAATTGTAAACTGGGCAATATTGATTTCTTTACTAAGTCTTGTATGGTGGTTTGGAATGAATTGCAATAATGTTAACTTTCTTTCCAAACAATGACTGAGCTGATCCCCATACCAAACAAGGACAGCAAACTTGCATTTGAGTACCACCTTTGTTATTTACCAGCTAGCAATGGAGTGCTACTAAACTCTCTGGACCAGCGTTCTCATTGACAAATCTGGGCTAACTACAGGATTATTGCGAAAAGTAAATCAAACAAACAAGTAAAGCGGGTATTTTGAGACATATATGACAGGCATTCAGTACTTAACTTGTCAAGTGCAATAAATTATTTGCATGCTTACATATTATGAAAGTGAGGATAAATATATATTTTCTATGAAAGTTAGAAAAAGCCTTCCAATTTTTTTTGCTTTTCTATCACGTCAAATGAAGAATAGAAAATAATGCATTTTGGTAAAGGACTTAATAATATGCACTGTAAAAATCCATGGCATCCTTAGAAAGAGAAGTAGTCTTGTGACTCTTGAAATGATGCAATAACTGTCAATTTGTTTGGAGGGAACCTTTGTTACAGAACAAAGCAAGAGGACAGAGCCCATGTACTGGGAGTTATATCAAAACAGTGCTCGTCGGAAAGGCTGGAGTAACCTTTGCATGGGATAAAGCGTGCTCCTCCATACACCCATCTGGACCTATCCATCTCCCTGTGGTGTGAAACTTAGCTTCCCAAAGCCCTGGGCCCTCAGGGGAGCCCCCTTGTTGACTGTTTCCCTTTTAACCCTCTATGAGTTTTTAATGGCTATGTTCCTATTTAGGCTTAAGAGTGAGCAGCCACTCTTCTTCCTGCTCAAAATCCATGCAGGTAGGTAATCTGTAACAAATACCTTTTATATCTAAGGAAAATACCTGGTCAAGAGGATTAACTAGTGTTAACACATCACCTTTGAATGCATAGCCCACAGTGAGTCCTCTCTTCCCATTTCGTTGTTCAAGGAGAAAAATAATGGCATGAATGACAAGAACTAGGATTCCATCTATGATACATTAACGAGCGTAGGAGAGTCATGCAGAGAAACTTCTTCTGCAACGTAGACACTACCCCACAATCCAGCCTGAGCACTGGGGAAGGAAGTTGAGAATTCATGGACAGGCACAGAGCTATGCATATCAGGATCTGGGCCACCTAGATGACTGGAGTTGCCACATAAAGTATCTAGAATGAACAATAAGGACTGAATGGCAGGTAGCAGCAGGAAAGGGGTGGTGTTTTACTGAGACTCAAACCAGTGGGTGGGTGGCTGACTGAAGCACGTGACAAAGGCCTTTCCATCCCGTGAGTGCTTGACGAAGAGTGTACACCATAAGCCCCACAGCACAAGCTGGTTTTGTTCCATTTGCCGACTGAAGAAAGGTTTAAAAGAAAAGTGTAAAGGCCCGTTGCCCCTTCTGCTCCGCAGTGTCTTTACTCACAGTGAGGTTCGTAGGGTGGAGGAGGGTCTCCACAGGGCACACACTCCATGTCCTGAAACCCAACAAGTTTAGTCTTCCTGTAAAACCTAGGAGAGGAAGGAAAATGAGCTCGGTTAGCTCTGCCATCCAGGCTTAACAGCTATAGCAACTAAGATCTTCATCATAAATCACCAGCAATCTCCATTATAATTCTATGTTTAAACAAAAGCACCCAAAGGCTTAAGTATAACAGTGTCTTATCTAGGCACAGCCTTAGAGAGCCTTTCTGGAAGGAAGAGAACATTTCAGAAACATCAGTTTCACCACACGTAACTGCAGAGCCTCCTCAGTCCACTCTTCTTCTATAGTGAGTTGGGGTACTCAAGAAGGAATATGAAATCCTATGCCTTTGGCAATTCTATTGTAATTTAAACTTCAAAGCACCTTACAGACAAACTGGTAGGTTTTAATGTTTGAAATCTGGGGGACCAAAAAACTGAGCAAACCATAAAAGCAGTGGAAAAGTGTTGAGACTCATACAATCTTGACATTAAACTTTCTAGGCACAACAAGAAACCCAGGAGCCAGAGTAGCAGAGATTGACAGCTCTGACAAAAATTTTTTTCATAAAGGTATCTCAAGGGCAAACATAAAGCACTATTGACATAGTTAATGGACCACAAAAGTTTGAAAATAATTATTCTGGTTATAGTATTGTATATAATTTATGTTTGTAAGGAAAAACAAAACTCACTACAGCAAAAGTGAATGCTACAATTGTAAACAGGCAAAGAACACTCAATCCCCAGAGAACATTCTGTGATTATGAAATTCCATAATTAAAACTAAAATAGATGATAGAATTAAAAATCTTAAAAACAATATTAAAATGTTTAGCTTCATTGTTAACCAAGCAAATGCAAGTTGAAGAGAAAATATATCATTTTACTTAGAGAACTAGAAAAGGGTTCATATAAGCTTAGGCAAAATATAAATGGCTAATTTTAAGAAGGCAATTTAGCAATATGTCATCAGAGCTTAATAAAATACTTTATACTCTTTATTACCTTCAGTTTTAGAAATTTATCCTAAGGAAATAATCACCTGGGTAAAGCTTTATGTGTGTGCATATAATCACAGCATCGTTTATAACAAAAAATACAGCAAATTAGAGACAATCCCAATGTCTTAACACTAGAAATTTAAAATGAGATTACATTATACTTTAAAACTTCTGTGCATCATAAGACAATTCAAAAAAGTGAAAAGACAAACTATGAAATGGGAGAAAATATTTGCAAATCATATTATCTGATAAAAGGCTAATACCTCAAATCTATAAAGAGCTATAACTCAACAATGAAAATCAAATAACTTGATTAAAAATGGGCAAAGGACTTAAATGGACATTTCTGCAAAGATGATATCCACAAGGCCAATAAGTGTATGGAAAGATGCAATATTAACCATTAGGGAAATGCAAGTCAAAACCACACTGAGATACACCGCTTCACATTCATTAGGATGGTTACTATCAGAAAGCAAAGCAAAATAATAATCAGAATTAAGGAAACAAATGTTGGAGAGGGTGCAGGAACTGGAATTATATACACTGTTGCTGGAACTGTAAAATGGTGGCACTACTATGGAAAACATGGCATTTCCTCAAAATATTAAAAATAAATTATCACATAATGCAGCAATCCCATTTCTGGGTATACACAGGAAAAAAAAAACAAAAAACAAAAAATAAAAACAAAGCAGAATCTTGGAGAGACATTTATAGACCTCTGTTCAATACAGCATTATTCACAATAGCCAAGAGATGAAAGAAATCAAATGTCCATTGATAAATAAGTGGTTGAACAAAATTCAGTAGATAGATAAGAAGGAATATTATTAAACTTTAAAAAGGAAGTCAAGCTGGGAGTGGTGGTGCACACCTGTAATCCCGGTACTCGGGAGGCTGAAGCAGGAGGATCACTGTGAGTTCGAGACCAGCCTGGACTGCACAGTGAGTTCCAGGTCAGTTTCAACTACATAGTGAAACCCTGTCTCAAAAAAACAAAACAAAACAAAAAATTAAAGTAAAAAGGAAGTCAATCCTATCACATGCTACAACATGGATGAAACTTTAGGACATTATGCTAAATGGAATAAGCCAGTCACAAATAGACAGATACTATATGGTTCCATTTATCTCAGGTATTTGAGAGTGTCAAATTCACAGAAAGAACCGGGGCCTGGTAGGAAGGAAAAAGAGGAAGTTGCAGTTTGGTAAGTTGAAAAAGTTTGGAGATCTGTTTCATAATAATGTAAATGTATTTAACACTATTGATGTATATGCTTAAAAATGGGTAAGTTGGTCAATTTTATGTACTTTTAAACCACAACAGAAAAATGCATATAAAACTTTAAAGTAACGTAATAGGACAATATGTCTTGGTAAACCTTGTAACGTCTGCAGATGATTATTTTTTATCCTGTCAGCCAGAAAAACTTGCCAAATTATAATTGATAAAATATTAGTAAAGCCTATAATTATTTTTATACATAAAAGCTCATTTTATGTTAAAAAGTGAAAAATATAACAATAAGCTTTTTTCAACAGCAAATATTCAGGATATAGAAATACATCCTATAAAAATTTTTAAACATTAGGGAAATGAGACGTGTTGGAAATCAAATATAGGTTTAATTTAACATTCTAAAATAATGAATTTTCCTTGCAGTAAAACAAGGGCAGCACTTTCCCTAATAAACAATTTTCCAAAAACATGTTTATTAAAATGTAAGGCGAGTTTGAGGATGCTCACACAAATGAGGCTAGAAGACATGCAAGTTAGGTCATAGTTTGAATGACCATTAACTACCTAGTAGATAGGAGGCTGAGTGAGCACAACAACTCCCAGGGTTTGACATAGCTCCTGGGCACAAGGTCAGGGTTGCACAGGTGACACTCAGAGCAGCATCAGAGGCCGTACAGTGGTTACACACACCATCTAAGACACAGTGGGCTGCCTTCTCCATTCCAGTGGCTTACAGGCAGAATCTAAGAATTTTAAAACTTTCTATAGAATTTTCAAAACTGTTAATTGACTTACTTTTTGAAGCAGTACAAAGTAAAATTAAAGTCAGAAATATAAAGCACAGTATAATTGCTAAAATACTAAGTGCTTATGATAAAAATATTGTTTTTAATTTTTGAAAGCCTGCGTAATATTAGAATCTAACATGAAGATGCGTATTTAGACATTTGAGCTTTGAAATGCGACTTAGTAACTGACATTGTGAAATGGGAAGCAAAGGGCTAAAGGTGTAGGGAAAGTGGGAAGGGTGGGGGAAAGGGAATAAGGGAAAGAAAAAAAATGTGAGATAATGAAAAGATGGAAATTGTTTGCAGATGGGGAGGGGAGGAGGGGGTGAAGGGAAGCCAGGGACAAGGGGAAAAAATGAGAACCAAGACCTGTCATGTACAGGTACGAGATCCCAATAATGAATGAAATTGTTTGCATGGGGAGGGGAGGAGGGGGTGAAGGGAAGCCAGGGACAAGGGGAAAAAATGAGAACCAAGACCTGTCATGTACAGGTACGAGATCCCAATAATGAATGTCACTGTACTGTATCCCTAAAATGTACCAATAAACTCAATGAGGGGTAAAAAATAAAAAAATTAAAAAATGTGACTTAGAACGTCTGTAGACCTTTAACAATTATTCTATTTCCTTCCTTTTCCTCCCCTCCCCTCCCTTTCCCTTTCCTTCCCTCCCCTTCCCTTCTTTCTTATTTTTCCTTCTTCTTCTCCTTTATGCCGCTTCCTCTTGCGCTTTGATGCTAAGGATAACACTCAGGGCCCCTTGAAAGCGAAACACATACAGTACCACCTCTGAGCTCCAGCCCCAACTCCTTACTTTCTTTTTACTTTATTTAGAGTGTCATGGTTTGGGGACATAGAAACATTTGCAACTCCATTTCCTGTCCAACTGGGAAAAGTCACAAATTTTAAATAAGAAATAAAATAAAAGGGGACAGGGATATTATACAAAATGTGGGTTAGACTGATTTCTAAAGTTTAATGTCAAATTTTACTCCTAGCTTTCAGATAGATAGTGCAAAAAGACAAAAGAAAACCACAGTTGATGTTTCTTAATCGTTATTTGATGAAAGAAAGCACAAAAATGCACATCGTATTGACATAAAATTTTCTGATAGTGTTTATAAAGGGAATTTTTTAACTGAACTGAATCCAAGTAACACTGCTTAGCCTAGTGAATACTGTTTGAACATTGCTAATTCAAGAGACCCTGCTGTTGACCATTAACCCCTCAATGAAAGAATTTCTGCCAGGAGATGCCACATCACAGCTCAGCTCTGGTTTATGACCTCACTTAACACTGTTGGACGCAGATACTCTGTCCTGGGTCTTACGGTCAAGGAATGGTGGACGTTCTGCAGTGGATATGTTAGATGAAGGATGACTGGGCTTTGTTCTCTGACACTCCTGGCTTCATAGTGGCTAGTTCATCCTCCTCAGCAGTCCACAGGAATGGCACTTCTTTGGGAATTGAACAAATGCAAACAGGATGGATCCTTAGGGTATGAGCCCAGACCTTACCCTGATGGCAGCAACAGCAGGAGGGTGGAGTGAGTGAGGAGCGCAGGATCCTTGTGAGATCTCCAGGTGGAGTCAGAACTGTGCTGAAGCTCCCTGTTTCAGGGACTTTAAGCTGGGGGAACCTGGACAAGGCATTAATCTATTCTAAGGATCAGTTTTCTCCTTTGTAAGGAGACATTATAGTCGCTCCTACTTTACACAGTGGTTCAGATAATTAGGTAAACTCATCTGCAGGAAATACTTAGCATATAGCAAGTGTTCAAGTGCTACCTCAGCTACTGGAAGCAGTGAAGAGCTGGCAGGATTGTGCTATGCCGTCCCCTTAGAGGAGGCGTGGGCATGAGTGGTCCAACTGCCACACTATGGGGTCACACAAAGTTTGAATGGCCCCATTGCCATGAGTGGGCAGTTGTGTACAATATCAATTTAGTGCTTACTCTGGACCAGGTGCTCTGCCAGGTACTTCAGATGCTTTACACTGTGAATCCTAACAAGTCTGCAGCTTATTTGTATTACTGGAGGACAGTTTTCCCAGTAAGAAGAAGGGGTGTCAGAGAGAGTAAGTTCCTGGCCTGAAGTCCTCAAATGTTTCTGGGGACAAGAGGACTGACCTTCTCTCAACCCTCAGATTGTAAGCACTGAGGAAAATTTCCACACTTGCTGGCTACTGGGAAAGCAGCTGGTATCTAGAGGGCTGAGCCCCAGGTAGGAGCAGGAGGAAGGCTGAGGCTGCAGGAAGCAGGGAGGGCGCTGGAAAGGATAATGCCTCTCATCCCCCATGTTGGACCTTAACATCGTTTTCCTGGAGGCAACAGGCGTTTTGCTTACTCCCTGCTTCAGCATTTCTAAAAATGGGTTTCAATGCTTTGCCTTCTTCACAGAAACAGTCAAACTGGAAGAGTGTTTTTTAAATGCTCTGAAAAGACCTCGGCACAAGTTACTATATAATTATAACCTGCCTTGTGTGTTAAAGCAGCTTAGAAAGGATGTAATTTTAAACTAATCATATAAACTGTAAAACATCATTCAAATGTCTATTCATTTACAACTTTCCTGCATCTCAGTATTTACTGTAAGATGAACTAGCACTGTAGAAAGTAAGGCTTGGCCCAGAGAACAAAGACTGGGGCAACCTCGCAGTCACCTGTGGGCTCTCTTGTCAAACCCAAAAGGTCACTCTGATAAGCCAAGACCTTGGGTCTTGATGCTGCCTACCTCGGCTGGTGTGTGCACTATGAGCCATCTCCCTTCCTATTCCCCAGATGAAGAGCAGACGTGCACAGCCAGGCTTTCATCAGAGAACTGTAGGACGTGAACAACAGAGATGCATCAGACCTTCCGGTCACTTTCCTTGATTAGTTTGACAAGATAAAAACTCTGGGAAATGGTATCTGTAGACAGCTTATAGGTATGAGAGTAAGGACCATTACCTTTTATTCATGACAGACTCAACTGAGATGTCATTCACAATCCATACAATTCACCCACTAACAGTATACACTTCGATGGTTCTTCCTGTATTCATAGACTTGGGTACACAGAACCACTGGTTTAAGAACATTTTTCATCACCTCAAAAAGACAGCAACTTTGGAACCTTTCCCAGTCGACATGCTCTTCCAAACCCTACCTAACCCCAAGCCCTAGGCAACCCTAACTTGCTTTCTATCTCCAGAGATTTGCTCAATCTGGACTTTGCACACAGGTGGAGTCATATACCATGCAGTCTTTTTGACTGGCTTCTTGCACTTAGCATGATGCTGTTTACGTTCACCATGTGGAAACATGTGTCTAGCTTTTCTTCCTTTTTATTGCTGAATGATGTTTCATCTCTTGAATATATCATACTTGGTTCATTCATCAGCTGATGGACATTTGGGTTTGCCTTAGTCTGTTTTGTGCTGCTGTAAGAGAATGCTATGGACTGTGTCATCTATAGAAGGAAAACTGCTCACAGCTCTGGATTCAGAAAGACCCAAGTGACAGTGCCAGCATCTGGGATCCAGTAAGGCCTTCTGGCTGCATCTTCAAGAGGGGAGGAGCAGAAGATGACACAAGCCAGAAGGCCAAAAAGGAAAACACCCTCTGTCAATCCCTCATAAACCCTGTTCATAAGGGGAGGCTTTCTTGTGACCTCATTACTCTTTTTTTTTTTTTTTTTTTTTGGTTT